CGGCGCAAGGAGGGTCATTTCTACATTTCATTTACACACAGAACTAAACAGACAAGCACAGAATCACTATTGTGGTTAGAAGTTGGCAGCATGGGAGGGGGGTGAGGAATAGGGGTGTCGTTAAAAAAACAAAACAAAACAAAAACCCAAAACAGGTTCCCCCCAAACTGGGTGCCTGGGACGGAACTTGGTCTGCTTCAACCCAAGAGGAATCAGGAGATCAAAAGCAGTTTGGGAAGGCCAGAACCGTCAGGGATGGAGGGAAGAGGACGGTCCAGGGGGTAGGAGGGACGTTTGGCAACTGGGGTGAAGGGATTGCCCTCCCCCTGCTGGGTTCCCCCCAACCCCTCCGGTCTGGCAGGAAAGGGGCAGCCTGCAACACCCAAGAGCAGGTCTGGGGCTGCTAGATGCTCCAGGCAGGGGGCTGGAGGTGGCTCACAAAGGCTTGCCCTCCAGGGAGATGACGGCACTGCCACCTAGTTTTTCTGCCAGGGTGCAGCGGTCCTTGACCTCCTCGTAGCAGTTTGCTTGTAATTCATGCTTGATTCCTTCAGGAAAAAAAAGAGAACAGTGAGAAGGAAGCACTGGGCTGTGGAGTTTGTGTCTGGGAAGCAGCCATTAGAACAGATGAAAGAGCAAGGTAGCACCCAGCAGGCATGCGAATGGAGGACCCGTTACTGTCATCCGTTTTCACAATGCAGCCATGACTCCCACAGAAGTGCATACAAAGAGGGGACCCTTACCTGTCAGTTTCTTCTTAATGGCATCCTTGGAGCTGGCATAGATCATTTTGCTCTTAAGGGGTGCACTCTCAGGGGCCCTGAAGACAAGGCAAAGAAAGTGCTGTAGCTATCCCCAGACAACACATGACCCAGAAAAGACCTTTAGGATGCTCTGACAGTGGATTTCCCCTCATGTTCCCCCACTGTTTTTGCTGTTTTCAAGACAAGGTTTTTCTGTGTAGCCCCGGCTGTCCTCGAACTCAGAGATCTGCCTGACTCTGCTGGGATTAAAGGTGTGAATCACCAACATCATCCAGGCCTCTCACTTGTTTTGTTACACCCCTGACTCCCATACTTTGGATGATTTCTATTACGCTTTCCTGAAAAGGGAAACCAGAGGCAGGCAGAAGGGCCCGAATAAGGAGCTCACCAGAAGATGAACACCAGGTCCTCCTTCTTGCTCTCCTTGGTCTCATAGGTTGCGTCGTAGAGGGCATAGCGGCAGTCCTTATCGGGCAGCATCTTGACAAACGTGGTGTAGGGGTCGTCCACAGTCTGCCCCACATCTCCTACGAGGATCTCCTTGCCCTCCTCCAGGATGATGTTTTTCTTGTCCTCACTCAGGCAGAAGAGCACTGCCTTCTTGCGTTTCTTCACTTCTTCTGGCGTTGAGGACTTGCGAACTTTCATGTCATTGAACACCTTAATGACACCATCAGAGACAGCCACACCAGAGGCCTGAGGGACAAGCCAAATAATACACCTTGTAAGGGAAAGGGTTCTGTGGTATTCTCTCAGGTTATGGGAAACCTCATTCTGGATCCCTGCACAGGCAAGAAGATGCTTTTCCCATCCAGTTATCATCTAAGGACTCTCGGGGACAGACCCCCTTCAAGGGAGATATCCAACATCTAGTTCAACACGCCTACATGTTAAAAACAGTATTTGTTAAAAAATAAAGCCTGGTCAAGAGTGATGGAACACACATTTCTCATGGTGCCAGGACAGCCTCATCTACAAGAATGAGTTCCGGGACAGCCAGGGCTATACAGAGAAAGTCCATCTCTAAAAACACCCCATAAGAAAACAAAACCCTTTGCTGAATTGTGAACCACAGATTCAAAAAACCTAAAAGTTACTGACTGGATTAACAGAAATGTCTGCTGGATAAAATGCCCGAAAAATGTCACAACTCCACAAAGACACCAACAGCTGCTCAACAGTTCATCAAGTCCATCCTAGCCTTCAATGTAGTCACTGCATTAAGGACTCTTCCCTGCCCAGATCTCCAAACTCAAGAATTACAACCCTTCATTAGAACCCTGCTGGACAACTCCCCATCATCCAAGAGTGGTGAGTCCTAAAAATCACTGACAAATAGGTCAAACTGTAGGGCCCCAAATCGTCACAAACATTTTGCTTTGTATGGCCCTGGGGGGGACGACCCAATCAGAAATCTGCACCCCCCCCCCATGGAACTGCAGAGGAAGCTGGCCACGTGATTCACCCGCTTCCGGAGTAGGCGGAGGAAGGAGATTGGGGTAGTCTCTGGGCCTCCCCAAGAGACAGGCAGCTCCGGACTCACGTCTCAACGCCTAGGACTCGCCTTTAAGAATAGGGGCGAGTCCCGTCAGCTTGAGAGGTAGCACAGGCCAGTCACACAAGCATCAGTTTTCCAGGCCCTCAGGCTAAACATAAGAACTGGGTGGCTTCCGGGCGGTACCCGCCTGGGTCACTTCCCTAAACGCGGCTCCACCCTCGGCCCCATCCGGCACAGCTAAAGGCCTAGCTCGTCCAGATCTGCGACCGGGATGGCAGGGGCCAAGGATGTGCGCACGCGCTAGTGCACAGCGCTGTTCCAGCCCTAACCCGAAGTCCAGTGACTAGAAAAAGCAGTGTGTAATCGCTCTTTATACAAGAGGAGCGAGAGCCTGCACAGGGCCCACTCTATAACTCACGACGAAAGGTCCTGGTCTCAGGAGTCAGTGCCTCCACCAGGTCCCCGGTGACCCAGCATCCCCGAAGGGCCACGCCACCCCCGCCCCTCCCAGACGGCGGCATCCCTGCCACCTGCTGTGGAGACAAACCCATCCGCAAAGGGAGGATGATGCGGGGAAAGGAACAGCCCTTGGGTGGGGCGCGCGCCGACATCTCGCGCGCGCTTTTCCCTAGCGGCCCCGGGGCAGGGTTTGGATGCCGCGTGCTCTGGTCCAGCGCGCGCCATCGAGAACCGGGGAGCGTTGCCCGAGGCTCGGCGCAGTGGACCCCTCCCCCACGGCCAGTGTCCGCGCGGGCGCAAAAGCGGGATGGGGGAGGGGAAGGGAGCCAGGGGGCGCGCGAGCGACGTCCGAATCGGCCCTTCCCAGCGCCCACGGGCGCGCACGCGCGGCCTGCCCTTCAAGGCGAGACCCTTAATCTCGCTCGGGGTGCTGGGGGGGATGGGGTAATGAGAGCGCTTCTCTGCCGCCCCCACCCCACCCGAAGCGCAAGCAGCGGATCACGAAACCGCCTCCCTCGGGAGCAGCGGCCTAGTACTCACCATGGTTCCGGAAAGTAAAGGGAGACAGAGAGAGCAGGAGAACTAAGCCACCGCAGCTGCTGCCGGGATCCGACTGAATGCGGCCTCTCCCGGCCCCTTCCGTTTAGTAGGAGCCGCACAATGAGGGGCGGGGCACGCTTCCGGCGCCTGCCGCGCGGGCCGACGGGAAATGGAGTCCGAGGCTCCTCCCGCCTCCCCCCCCCCCCACCGGAGCGGCGCTAAGCTGCTCCAGGGTTCCGCAGAAGCGGGGTAGGCGGAGGCGTGGGCCATTGTGCTGGGAACGAGCTTTATCGATGTGAAGGACCAGAGAACGCTCTGCAGTAAGAGGCCCATCGCTTGATAAAATGACCTAAAAAAACCCCCACAATTCTCTGAGTCTTTACCCCACAAGTGAAGTATCTGTGGTTGCTCTTTACGGCGCCTGAGGTTTTCCTGACAAGAGAGTCGCAAGTATACTCGCAAGTCTTCAGGCCAATGGAGAAGTGCTTCCGTAGAATGAAATTTCAACAAATCAGTAGGATTTTTTTTTTTTTAAAGACGGAAAATGCTGCAATTAAAAGCTTGGGAGCTTCGGTTTCGCCTAAAGACATTTCGCAGAGTCCTTCAGACGTAATTCATGGGGGAGGAGTGAAGAGTTGTGCATTAAAGGCTTCTTTCTACTTCCTGCACCAGGCGATAAGGAGAAGAGTACTTACTGGAACTCCGTTCCCGAGTTGATAGGTTTGTGGTTAGTCTAACACGAAAAGTGAGACCCTCTGGGAGAGCCAGAGGTTAAAGTGAACTGGGCGGAGACCCTAGGAAGACCTCTTGGATCCCGAACAATGACCGAGTCCTCACACTTGAGGGAAAGAGGGAAAGGTCGCCAATAAGTCATGTGCAAAGGAAACTGGGGCCCTGGACCTCCCCGAGCCGAATAAAGACTGCAAGCGAGGAGCAAGCCCGGGAGGGAGGCAGCCCGCAGGGCATGCCGGGGGTTGTAGTCCGGGGCCTCCCGCGGCCCTGCGGGCCGAGCGGCTGGAGCTCCAAGGGGAAGCCGAACGGACCCTCGGCTCCCAGGTGCCCTGCCTGAGGAGAAGGCTAGCGCCCCCTTTTGCGAGACTCCCGGTTTCCCGGAGCAACGGGGGGAGGGGCCACGAGGTTGCCCTGGTTACGCTCCCTTCCGCCCCTCCCCACCCCCGCCGCGGGATGCCCTAGATGTCCTTATTAGGGCATGAGCCTCCAGAGGGCGTGTCCAGCCCGAGCGCCGGCTTTAGGCTCCTTTTAAGGCTGCGCGAGGGAGGAGGCGGGCTCGCGAGCCAGCCCGAGAAGGGGGTCCGCGAACGAGGCGGCCGGCGGCTTCCGGCGCGACAGCCGCGGCTCGCCGGCCGTGCCAATCCCCGGAGAGACCACCGTGCTCCGCTGGGCCGCCCCCCGCCACCGCGGGGCGCCCGCTCCCGAGGAGCCACAAAAGCCACCCGCGTGCCAGGGGGCGCCCCTCGGTCCCCCTCGCCGTCCACCTAAGCCTGAGCATCCCCGGCTCCGCGCCCTCACGAGCTCCTCCTGCCACTCCTGCCTTAGTTCATCCCTTGCACCCCTTCACGGATGTGTCCCCCGCAGACATCCCCGCGCCCGTGCCCGCCCCTCGCCCCCCCCCCCCCCCCGCCCCCCCCCCCCCTTCCAGCCTCCTCTACCACAGCGAGCCCGAAAGAGCCTGTCGAGGCCCCAAAGCGAGCCCAGCTCGGGTCTCCAGCCGGCCCTCCCGGGCACAGGGGGCGCTGTCCGCCTCCTAATGGCACAATAGTTTTGCTCTCGAATTTTGGAGAGGACGAGGGCGGGTCAAAGCTCTGTGGCCTGGATGGGGCCCGTCCCCAGGGCTGGTGCTCGCGGGTCCTGGGGGCGGTCCGAAGGGAAAGGGGGCGCACGCCTAACTTCCAACCAGCCCGTCACAGCAGCAGGGGAGCGGGGAGCGCTCCCTGAGCTGGTGCACCGCCGGGTTGGACGGGTCCTGCTCGCAATCAGATGTTCTCATCCCAACGGCCGGCCCGTCGAAGTCCCCATCTCAGAGGGTTGTTCTTGTGAGGCTCCAAAAGAGCCAGTCTAGACCTAATGGCGGAGCCGGTCCGCCTGGGCCGGAAGCGCCCGCTGCCGGTTTGCCCCAACCCTCTCTTCGTTCAGTGGCTGACCGAGTGGCGAGACGAGGCAGCCAGCAGAGGGCGTCACACGCGCTTCGTGTTTCAGAAGGTGAGTCCCAGCTGGCTGCTCCGGTGCCCAGCCAGGTGATCCGTGAATCCCGGCCTGAGGAGCTCCTCTTCTCCCTTGGGCTCGCCAGGCGCTGCGCTCCCTTCGTCGGTACCCGCTACCACTGCGCAGCGGGAAAGAAGCGAAGATCCTCCAGCACTTCGGAGACAGGCTCTGCCGGATGCTGGACGAGCGGCTGAAGCAGCACCTGGCATCGGGCGGTGAGCGCCTCGGGGAGTTAGTTGGTGATCCCCTAAATTTCTTAGTGTAGGCTGTGTCTACCTTGGAAACCTTGGCTTCAAATTCCGCACTCTCATTGTGGTTGCTCTTCGACCCAGGGCTAGTAATTGATGCTCTGTAAGCCCGGTAGTTGTCACATACAAAGCTAGCTGACTGAGCCGGCGTGGGTGGTGTGAAGCAGGTCTGTAATCCAGCGTTTAAGAGGTGGGGTGAAAGAGTCAGGAGTTCAAGAGCATTCTCAATTACATACCGAGTTCAAGGCCAGCCTGGGCTATTTGAGACTGTCTCAAAAAATGACAAGGGGTCAGGCATGGTGATGCATGCTTTTAATCCCAGCAATCAGAGGAGACAGAGGCAGGAAGATCTTTGTGAGTTTGAGGCCAGTGCGGGCTTCACTCAGTGAGACCCTGTCTCAAAACCAAAACCCCAACCAGGGGATCCAGCCCCCAGTTCTGCCCTCTTCTAGCATTGTGCTCCAGTGATGCACAGACGCGCAGGTGAACACTCATACATACAATAAAGCAACAAAAAAGGTTTTAAAATATGACACCCAGAGCTGGGCATGGTGACTGGTGACACACACCTGTAATCCTAGCGCCCTGGGAGGCAGAGGTGGGCAGATCTTGGTGAGTTCAAGGCCAACCTGGTCTGCAAAGTGAGTCAGGGACAGCCAAGGCTACACAGAGAAATCCTGTCTTGAAAAACAAAAACAAAAAGAGATACCCAAATTCACAAAGTGGGCAGACTACATCCATGCTCCTCCTGGCAGCCAAATTGGGTGCAGGACTGACTTTCTTCTGTCCTCCTCAGGGGACCATGCCCCCAGCCCACCATCTGCAAAGAAGAATGAAGCCAGCGAAGGACCACCTGCTCAAGTCCAGGACTCTTCCACGCCAGTGAGGATTGGGAAAGGGAGTAGAAAGCTCTCTGGGAGAGTTGGGAGCAGGACTTCTTGGTTTGAGGGATTTACCAGCTCTGTGTCCAGCTCTGGCTGATTTAGACTGTCCTGGTGTCTTACCCTCTTTGAGAGGCTCTATCTTAATTCCTAAGTAGGATTATTGAGACAGCTGTAGATGGAGTTCCAAAGGAAGCTGCTGAGAGAGCCAGCCCCCAAAGTTGAGACTTCTGTTATGTCCTTGTTCTCGTTCTCCAGTAGTGGTAGCTGGAGGCTGGGGTCGGCACATAACCCCAGCCTTTGTTGCTGCTCTGGCCACCATCACATTCCGTATTTAGAGAGGTTTAGAGCATCATCTCCAGGCCCACAGAGCCTGCTGAAGCCTCAGCTGATACTGACAGGTATTTGAATTCAGAGTCCCTGTCTCTCTCAGGTTCCCGCCCAGCCTCAAGCAGGGAGCACTAGTGCTGGCTATTGGCCAGCTCAGAACTCAGGTGCGCGTGAGATCCTGCTGCAGCTCTACAGGGAGCACCTGATAAGCAGTCAGGTATGTGGCTGGGGCGAGGCGGGAGGCTCCCAGAAGTGCCTGGGTGGTGATCAGACTGGCCACACCCTATCAGGGTGAGGAAGAGCCCCAGCCCCGAACCTTCCCTCACTGCTACCATGGTTTCAGAATCCTGATGGCCACGGCTTCCTAATGAAGGAGGAGCTGCTGCAGAAATGTGCCCAGAAGGCCCCCAGGGTGAGCATCCAGCTGAGAGTGGGCAGGCAAAGCCCACTGCAGTTCTCCCTTCATGGCAGGCAGCCTTGGTATGCAACCTGACCCAAATGCGGCATATGGCTAGGGTACACGAAGTTTAGGCTTGGAGATAGTAGAGCCTCTCTGAGGGTCTCCTTTCCTTTCACAGGTAGTTCCTGGAAGTTCAAGACCCTGGCCTGCCCTTCGAGGCCTCCTTCACAGGAACCTCGTCCTCAGAACACACCGGCCAGCCAGGTGTGGGCAACCTAACGAGGCGGGGATGGGGCTCACGTAGGGTCAGAACTTTCTCAGGCTCTACAATGGCCAAGCAAATTCAGACCTGGTGCCTCGGAGGCTGGGGAAGGCCAGCCTTCCCCACTAAAAGCCTCATCATTGGGAGGCCTGGGAAGTACGAGCAGCTGGGGGGAGGGAAGAGCGTATAGTGCTGAATGAAGACTGGGAAGGAGCTGTGAGACACACTGCAAAGCTGCAGTGCTGTTAGGGAGGCCCTGAGGAGACTGATCTGAGGGACAGGGAGACAGGGGAGGTGGGGAGCCATTGAACTTATACCGAGGAGGAGGAGGAGTTTCCCAGGTACAAAGAAGGTAAAACCAGCCAGCCGTGGTGGCACAAACCTTTAATCCCAGCACTAGGGAGGCGGAGGCAGGCTGATCTCCGAGTTCAAGGCCAGCCTGGGCCTTGTTTTTTTGTATTTGAAAAACAAAAACAAAACATAAAAAGCACACAGAGGCTTACTTAGCCCTGCACAGTGGGGCCCATCTGTAATTTCAGCACCCTGGAAGGCAAAGACGGTTGGATCTCTATGTTCGAGGCCAGCCTGGTCTACAAAGTGAGTCCAGGACAGCCAAGCTACACAGAGAAACCCTGTCTTGAAAAACCAGGGAAAAAAAAAAGGTAAAACTGTGTGTCAATCACCTCCCAGGTATGCACTGACACCAGAGGGCCTGGAGCTGGCCCAGAAGCTGGCCAGCTCAGAAGGCCCGAGCACTCTGAACACTGGGATTAGGCCAGAGGAGCCCCGTGGAGAGGAGTCAGCAGTTCCAGAAGCTGCCTTGTCAGAACCGTAAGGAGGAGAAATGGGGGCAACCATACCCCTATCTCAGGGACCTGGAACTGGGCCACGGCTGCCCCTGTGGGTTGTGGGGAACTGCCCTGGCAATGAGCGTTCTGGCCTTGTTCACAGCCTCCGTTCCCTCATAGTGGCGGCACCAGTGAGGGGGCCGTGCAGCAGCAACCACTGGAGCTGAGGCCGGGCGAGTACAAGGTGCTGCTGTGTGTGGATATTGGCGAAACCAGAGGGTTCGTGAAGTGGGGGCAGCCTTGAAGACTGGAGGGTGTTGGAAGGTGGTGGTGCTGGCTCACCCTGACCTTGGCCTTCTTTCTGGAAATGTCAGGGCAGGGCACAGGCCAGAAATGCTCCGAGAGCTGCAGCGGCTGCATGTGCCCCACACCGTTCGCAAGCTGCATGTGGGGGACTTTGTGTGGGTGGCCCAGGAGACCAGGCCTGGAGACTCAGGTATGGGGCCATGGGAAGGCATGGGAGGCCGGCCTGCGTGGGTGTGAGGTAGCTGCTAACGCTCTTCTCGGGTTCTTGGCAGCAAGACCTGGGGAGTTAGTCCTGGACCACATTGTGGAACGCAAGCGGCTAGATGACCTATGCAGCAGCATCATCGATGGCCGCTTCCGAGAGCAGAAGGTGCCTTGGGCAGCCCGCCTCACTTCTTGCTTCCTTCACCTAGAAAACACTACTGGCTGGCCGCAAAGCAGAGCACCAGAGGCCTCCAGCCATGCTCTGAGCCCCGTTTAAGCCATGCAGGCGCACAGTAGGAACACAAGGCTCTCTAGGCAGGCTGGAGACCGCTTGAGTACCTAGGCCAAGAGAGCCAGACTTCTAGGATTGGAAGTGCAGAGGCTGTGGCCAAATCTCAGCAGCAGGGCTGGCCCTAGGGTCACAGAGGCTGACAGGCGAAGGGAGGCTTGGAGGACGCGTCATGTCCAGGGGTTCAGAGCTTTCCTACAGGAGTCATAGTGTGGCTGCTCCCCTAAGATGGCCGGCCCAAACAGGTGGGCATTTGGGCCTGACCCACTCTGCTTCTGTCCGCCTTCCTAGTTCCGCCTGAAGCGCTGTGGCCTGGGGCACCGGGTATACTTGGTGGAGGAACATGGATCTGTCCACAACCTCAGCCTTCCTGAGAGTACATTGTTGCAGGCTGTCACAAACACACAGGTGAGCTCGGAGGGCAGGGCCAGGCTGGCCAGAGATTTTGTGGTCCATGGCTCAGGCCAGGAGCCACCTCCCTCCGGTCCTCTCCTCCAGGTCATTGATGGCTTCTTTGTGAAGCGTACCATGGATATTAAGGAGTCAGCTGGCTATCTGGCCCTTTTGACGAAGGGCCTGGAAAGACTGTACCAGGTGAGCAAATGCCTTTGTCCAGCACTGGGCCCCTGCCCGGTGTCTACTACCCAAGCAAGGAGAGGTGGGATCCTGTTCCTCAGGCTTCCCGCTGAGGCCTGGGAAAAGACTAGGTGGGGGCTAGCCCTTAGAGCCTCCCCTGGCCTCAGTCCCCTCTTCCATCAGGGCCGCACCCTGCGCAGCCGCCCCTGGGGAACCCCGGGGGCTGCTGAACCAGGAGCAGAGCCTTCCACCAATCCTCTCTGCTCGCTCCTCACCTTCAGTGACTTCAATGCAGAAGCTGTCAAGAATAAGGTACCAGCCTTGCCTCGCCTTGCTTAGGTGGCCTGGTCCCAGTTCCCCCCTAACACAAGCCTACCCCAACCCCAGGCCCAGTCTGTGCGAGAAGTATTTGCCCGGCAGCTGATGCAGGTGCGTGGACTGAGTGGGGAGAAGGCAGCAGCCCTGGTGGATCGATACAGCACTCCCGCCAGGTATGCCCAGAGAGCCTCCGCGGGTTCCTCTGCCCTCCTGTATGGAGTTCAGTATAAGCAATGCTGCTGCTAAGCAAGGCTGGCTCTGTGCGGGAACCCTGGCAGGTTCTGTCCCAGTGCTTCCAGGAGGGCGGCAGGATGAAACAAGGGTGTCCAGACTCCTCCAGTCTAGCCTGAAGCCCTCCCGCCTTAGCTCTCATGTCTCATGATGCTTGCCCAGACAATCAGCCCTTGTATGCCCACCTCCAGCCTCCTGGCTGCTTACGATGCCTGTGCCACCCCTAAGGAGCAGGAGATGCTGCTGAGCACCATCAAGTGTGGGCGTCTGCAGAGGTACGGATAATCACAGTCTATGGAGAAGGCTGGGTTGCCTGGGGCACCAGGCTGACCTCCTGACTCTTTCTTACAGAAACCTGGGACCTGCTCTAAGCAGGACCCTGTACCAGCTGTACTGCAGCCACGGCCCTCTGACCTGAGCGACACCGGGAGACACAGCCCCGCACCCATCTGCACCTCCACCAAGGCTTGCTAGCTTTCTAACTGGGATCCTTCAGCTATAATAAAAATGTAAATGTTTGTGGTCTTGGGTGTTGAGGAAGCAATGTCAAGGTCCTGAGAATGCAGGAACTGGGAGACTACACCTTGTGATCCAATGGTTTTTGCTTTGTGGTGACTAGTGGAACCCGAAGCCTCATGGGTGCTTGGCAATTCCTCTCCCCCATAATAATGACCTTCGGCCTTTACAGTGTCTGTCTCCCTCCTAAAACCCAGCTTGGCCTAGAACTTGCTATGTAACCCAGGTTGGCCTGGAACTCCCAGTCTTCCTGGGCCACCTTCCAATTAAAGGTATGGGCCGCCATACCTGGCCCATATGGGTTGGTTGGTTGGTTGGTTGGTTGGTTGGTTGGTTGGTTGGTTGGTTTTTAAAGCAAACTCCTGCCTAAGCATGATTGTTCACAACTATAATGTGTCAAGCCAGACAGACCCTATCCAAAAATGAATGAATAAACAAACAAAACCCTTCAGAGCTTGGGCACGCCCTGGTAAGGAGATAGTCAGTGAGGCACTCTCTCCTCCAGTGTGACTAGATGGCCCCTGGGCAAGTGAGTTTCTTTGAGAAAAGGTACCACAACTTGGGATAGAAAAGTGTTCTCAGTCCAGTTGCCTCATTTTGGTGATTTGAAAACAGTAGGGCTTGTCCAAATGCATAGTTTAGGGTTAGGGCTAGGGCGGTAACCCTGAAACTCTTGGCACTGACCTGAACATGGTCTCTGGGGCCCCGCATCAGCCAGGCACTGCGGTAGGGCCTCATGTGTATGCTGCTTAGAACTCCCTGCTCGGGTCCGTTCTGAAGGAAGACTCTTAGCCCTGGAACCTTCGGGTGGGATTGGCCTGAGTCTCTCACATGCCAGCCGCTTTCCATGCTGAGGTTACTCACCCACCTCAGCCAGGACTCCTTTCTCCCTTTATTGTCCTTCACATCATTGTCCCTTTAAGCAGAACAGCCACCCCTAAGCCCCAGGCTCCTTAAGCTATGGAAGGGATAAAAAGGGGTCCCACCCAACCCTTCCTGAGGGTCATCTTCAGAAGGTGTAGGCTCCCACAAAGACGGTGAGTCTCAGTACAGAGCTGGCCCGGTAGCTCATAAGGGAGTTCATGGTGACCATCTCCAGGTCCAACACGTACTCCCGGGGTCCTGTCACTGGCCTGGCAAGAACCAGCATGGCGCTGACATTGTTGATTTGCTGCAGAGCAGAGTGGACGGCAGAACATAGAGATGGTGTTAGCCTATGAGCCAGGACCCTCCTCCAGCATCCCCCCTGCCCTGCAGCCTGATGTTGGGAAACAGTCTCATCAGACTGCCACTCAAGTTCTTATCCAGCTCTGACCGCTGGGCGTTTCTCTCTGCTCCAGTACCTGAATCCCTGCCACCGGTTCTCTCCATCAGCTCTCTCCTGACTCCTATTCACCTTGATCTTCCCTCTATCATAACTACCTGATGACTCAAGTTTGGGGGTTGATGGGCCTGTGGTGCCCCAGAGCTGTCCCGCCTCTGCTTCAAAGTATTCAGTTCTCTCTCAATATTATGGTGCTGGAGAACTAAGGGCCTGCTGAATAAAGCACTCGTTCTGCCACGGGAGCTGGGTGTGCCGTCAGCCCCAAAGCAACTTGGAAAGTAAGTTCTGACAGAAACATCTCAATGCTGAAGACAGCATGAGGACCATGGTTCAAGACCCTCAGACCAGCACCAACATCCCTGTCATCTTCCCCTTGCCACAGAGCTAGAGTTTCTGAAGGAACCACTTTTCTTGTTCAAGTCAAAGCCCATTAACCGACTGCCTATTAGGACTGCCCATGGCAAGTGTAATAGGAATGTGGAGTATGTCTGACTTCTGACATGAGCCCACATCCTAGGACAGGGCTTTGAGAGACGAGGCAGGGCAGCTCCCACTTAGATGACTTCAGGTGTTCTCTTTTAGAGTATTCGAGTCAGTTTGGTGTGAGCGGAGAGGCACCTTACCCTAATGTAGAAGTCCCCTTGCGTGTTTCCAGCACGGATCTGGAAGGCATTGTAGGCGCCGGGGTAGACGGAGGTTGCCTGGATCTGAAACACGTCGGCAGGCACACTGCGCTCTGAGGTGATGCTCACGTAGCGGTGCACGATGGACGAAGGCTGCTCTCGACACAGGGGGTTGGAGGCAGGACAGAGGCAGCGGCTAGAGACCCAAGAGGGACAGGAGTGAGGGTGGGGCCCGCTTCCCAGATACCCTCCTCCTAGAGGGAAACCCAAGCATACAAGACTACCACTCCCAGGAGACATCACGGGCACTCACCTGCTTAATTAAACTACTTAACCCCACAGACCTCTGGGAATCGTGGTAACCACAGGAAACCGCCCTCAGGTTGACTCACTTGTCCGAAGAAACTTGGACATAGGGCTCCACACAACGGTTCGTGTCCACACAGCGGTAGCCCCCATGAAAGTTGACACAGGTTTGGGCCTCAGAACACTGGTGTGCACCTGATTCACACTCGTCAATGTCTGTGCCAAGGGAGGTGGGGTTGGACTCCAGGACTGGCAGTAAGCTACTGTCCTCTAAACACCTGCCCATCCCCCAGACGCACCAGTACCTTGGCAGAGCCTCGTGGCCAGCAGCTGGTAGCCTTGTGGGCAGTGACAGGAGAATCGGCCTGGCTCGTTGACACAGCGATACTGGCAGAGGTAGCTGGAGTAGCTGCACTCATCGATATCTGAAGGAGGGTGGGGATGAGGACCCTGGGCCAAGGGTAGTCCTCACAACTGAGCCTCATGGACATTTACTGAGAGAGCCCAGCCCCCGCCCCCCCCATAAGGCTGGATGCGGGAAGAGAAGGAATGAAGTAAACCCGGAGTGCTCGGAAGGGGGACTGAAGGTTTCAGTGGAGGGTTAGAGGGATATAACTCTGGGGAAGAGTACTTGCCTAACACGCTTGAGGCTCTAGGTTCCATCCCAGCAAGGAAAGGGAGAGGAAAAAGAAAAGAAAGAGAATAGAAAGGTTTGAAGCTTGGCATGGTGCTAATATGTCTATAATCCCAGCATCTGGGAGGGAGAAGCAGGAGGATTATACCAAGTTCAAGGCCAGCCTGGTCCACATAGGGAGTCCAGCCAGGATTATGGTAAGTTCAAAGCCAACCAGGTCTACATAACAAGACCCTTCCTCAAAAAACAAACAGCAGGGTGTTTGATCACAACCCTTGGGAGGCAGAGGCTGAAGCAAGCAGATCTGTCTGAGGCCAGCCTGGTCTACACAAGAGACTCCAGGCTGTCCAGAGCTACAGAGTGAGACCCTGTCTCAAAATAGCAACTGACCTTCAAGCTTACAGAGGACCTCTCTTCCCCAGGACTTCACAAATACTCAAGAAACAAAGTACCAGCCAACATGGCAGCCTGTACCTTTGATCCTGGCACTACTGAGCAGATCTTTGCAGGCTAGCCTGGTCTACATAGAATGCTTCACAACAGCCAGGATTACACAGATTCTGTCTCAAAAAATATCAGAGGGTCTGGAGAGATGGCTGAGTGGTTGAGAGCACTGCTTGCTCTTCCAAAGGACCTGAGTTCAATTCCCAGCAACTACTTGGTGGCTCACAACCATCTATACTGGGATCTGATGCCCTCTTCTGGCGTGCAGGTGCACATGCAGGCAGAACACTATTATTATACATAATAAATAAGTCTAAAAAAAAAAAAGCATCAGAAATCTAGAGCCTTGGGAATGAGTCTTACTAAATAGTTTTAGAAAGGTTCATTTCCATGCCAGTCAAATGAGTAGGCTGGCCTAGAGGAACCCTACAGGCCTAACCAGCTCTATTTTTTCCCAAGTCCTGTAATCCTCAGTCACAATACCCAGCCTTTGGCTGAGTGTGAGCCCTACCCAGAGCAGGCTATCCCTTTCCGTCTGTCCCTCTCACACAGCTGAACGCCAATAGTGCTGTTTCACGGCAGAACATAAACGGAGGACATGCCGGGTCACACGGTGAGAAGGCTGGGAGGAAGCCCTGGCCCCATCTCATCCCTCCCGTTTGCACTTTGACAAGTGACTTCACCTCTGTAAGTGAGAAGATGGAAGTCACCACTGTCTCTGAGCTTTCTGCCTGCTTTTTACAATTCTGCCAACACACCTGGGAGAGCATCAATGTCCTGCTTGCAAAAGTAAATCCTCACTGACCCGATTAAATGAGACCGGACGTGTAAGGTACAAACAAACGGGGCGTCCCCCTTCTGCCTGGCGCCTGATGCGGCCTACCATTACTGCCCCTCGCGCTCCACGTACTCCCTGCGGCATGTGCCCAGAAAGAAGAGAGACTTGGCTCAGTGCAGGAGTCCAACGCAAGTCAGCTCAACTTTCAGGAAGACTGGCACCCACATCCTTCTCTGTCTCTCCAACAGGCTCTGGTAGCACCTAACATACCAACCCCACCGAGCTGGGAGTGCCCAGCAACCAGCTTGCGATGGAGTTCATGCAGGTCGGTGGTGCAGAGAATGAAACACAGAAACCTCAAAAAAAAAAAAAAAAATGACTACGTGACTGGAGGTGGCCCGGCTCGCCGCACATCCTAGGGGACCAACACAGTATGCAGGAGACAAGCAGACCCTCACCACTGCAGGAGAAACCGTCCCGGTGCAGCTCGTAGCCCTGGTTACAGCGGCACAGGAAGGTCCCATAGGAGTTGAAGCAGCGCTGCTCACATGGGGCTCCCATGTCACACTCATTCACGTCTGAGGGGGCCAGGAAAACGGTGGTGAGAGCCGACGCACTGCCCGCAGCCCCCCTCCACTCAGGCTCAGGGAAGGAGATCCTGCCCCCACCTCACCCACCTCTTCCCGGGACCCCAGAGCCTGGTCTGGCACAGCCTCACCCACACAAGAGCGGTTGTTAGGTCCCAGCTGGAAGCCTGGCTCGCACTGGCAGCGAAAAGAGCCTGGCAGGTTCACACACCGGTGCTGGCAATAGCGGTAGCGACACTCGTCTATGTCTGAGATGGGGATGGGAAGGGGGGAGGGGGAGGAGAGTCAGCAGGGGGCCCTGAGCTGGCCCGCTCCTGTCTTTGCCCAGAAGCTGAGTTAAGCCACCCACCTACGTTTAGTCTTCTGTGTCCAGTGACAGGAGGGCACCAACAGCCTAGGCCAGGCCAAGGTCACCAAGCAAGACCTGGGAAGGCCACCCTCAGAACTCACCCACACATTCCGGTCCAATTTTTCGGTAACCGTCAGGGCAGGTGCACTGGTAGGAGCCAGGAAGGTTATGACAGTCCTGGCTAGGGCGACAGTCGTGCAAAGCCTGGGCACACTCGTCCACATCTGTGGGAGACACCATTCAGCCCGTGCCTGGAGTCCCACAGGCTACTGGTCATGTCAGGAACTGCAACTTGGGAGGAGGTAGCCCACGCTAGACGTCATTCACATGGGCATATGGGCGTTGGCACCAGAACATGAGCATGTAATTCAGATCCTCCCAATAGCATAAAGGACAGTTTGGTGCCGGGGAGGCACCAGAAAAAGTACCCGTTAGGTGAGCATGTAAAATAAGACCCTATTGGGTCTGGGAGCACATGCCTTTAATTCCAGCACTGGAGGTGGGGGGAGGCAGAGGCAGGAGATTCTCAGTGAGTTTCAAGCCAGCCAGAACTACAATGTGAGACACTGTCTTCAAAACAAGCAAGCAAACAAACAAACAAACAAACAAGGCCTTGTCCATTTATACCCCTCAGCTAACTCTAGGACAAGGACCTTCCCTCCTCCAAGGCCAATGGTTCCCAAGGCTGAGTCCAGATCACAAAGCTGGCCGAGGCTAGGAGCATTGCTCTTGCATGTCTGTGCAGGAAATGAGGGGCTGCTGGGGACTTCCTGGGCCAGCAGGTCATGCATTTAACCTGCAGATGAGGGTTGGATGCTTCTCTGAGGAGCCAGAGGCCTCTCAGCAAGGAGGAAGCACGAGGTCTGAGGTATGTCATAGGGAAGATTATTTATGACTTTGTTAGTTAATTAACTAACTTCTTAAGTAAGCTCTCACGTAGCTCGGGTTGGCCTCAAACTCCTTACGCATCTGAGGATGGCCGTTAGCTTTGGATGCACTTGCCTCTACCTCCGAAGTGGTGGATTACAAGTGTGCCACCATACTTGTTTTTTTGTGGTGCTGGAGATCAAACTTAGAGTCTCAAAAAACCAAAGTCCATAGCAAGGCAATGGTGGAACAGAGGCAGGCAGATCTCTGTGAGTTCGAGGTTGAGGCCAGCCTACAGAGTGAGTTCCAGGACAGCCAGGGCTACACACAAAAACCCTGTCTCAACCTCCTTCTTTCCCCCAGAGAAAAAAGTGCTTCTAGAGGATTAAGACAAATAAGAATGAAAGATGCCAAGAGGATTACTTTGTACAGTAAATACAAGGCAAGGCATGTTGGTGCATGCCTGCAATCCCAGCACTCAGAGACGCAGAGGCAAATGGGTCTCTGTGAGTTCAAGGCCAGCCTAGTTTACAAATCCAGGACAGCCAAGGCTACACAGAGAAACCTTGTCTCGGAAAAACCAAAAACCAAAAAAGACTGGTAAGAGGTCTGCACCCCTCCCCCCCTACTTACCCACACAGCTCGCCTGTTCATCGGGCTCGTAGCCTGGTGGGCAAGGATTGGGATGTTGAGCAGAGGCCGCAGATGGTGGAGGTCCTTCGCCTTGTAGGTCACTGATGACAGCAGCAGAGCGGGGCAGGCACAGATAGCCCCCGTAGTGGTTGATGCATTTCATTTCGCCCTTGCAGGCCTCGGGGATAGTCAGGCACTCATTGACATCTGCAGAGAAGGGCCTGCTGGGCACAGCCAGTCACCTGGGCTGGCCCTGGGAGGCAGAAGCCCAACTTGGCCTTCTCTAAGATGAGCAATCGAGCAAGGCCTTCTCTCTGCTCAGCAAACTAAGGCTGTTGACCCAGAACCCCTCCCAAGGGATTTGCAGGATTGGGGGTGGGGCCCTCTATTTCACACTGTTGTCCCCATTCCTCCTGCCTCCAAGCCAGTTTCCATTCCTCCTCAAAACCCTGCCTCTATCTCTGCCCAAGAGTAACCGACAGGCCTGCTTGACCCAGGGTGTACTGCTCTCCCAGCTTGCGCTGGGATAGGCGGATACAGAGTAGTTCTGGGAAAGTGTGCGTATTTCCGATCCTCTGGGCAATAGCCAGGTGCTCTCTCCCCCACTACAGGACAGAGGCAGAAAATTTGTTGGGCTTCTTGAAGGTGTAGGGCTCCTAACGGAGTGGCACAGCTGGCTTTGGCTCAGCCGAGCTGGGCAGTGCAAAGGTTCCTGCGCAGCTATGGGTGTCCCTGGGAAACAAGAGTCCCCTTCTCTGTTCCTGAAGACGGCCAGTACCGCGGGCATACTCACCCCGGCAGTGCTGGCTGCCCGCATCCCACTCGTAGCCATCTGTACATTCCTGGAAGGGAACCCGAAGTGGCCAGTGACCACCCTGGCAGTCTACTCCAACTGGCCAGGCCAAGACCAGGGCCTGAGCTCAGTCATGCTCAGGTCAGCTCCACACAATGGCCTCCAGCCTCCCACCAAGCAAGCAGGGCAGAACTTTTCCCAGAAGCAGCCACCCCAGTATTCTGGTCTCACTGTCCTTCCCATCCCCTCCCAAGCTGGTGACCCCGTGGTCCCCACCGTGTAGCTGTCCGATTCTTCTGAATCCTGTGGGGACGCTGCTCCCAAGAGCAACAGCAGAAGCGCCCAGAGCAGTAAAGACCCGGGGAGGCAGGAAGCAAAAGGGAGCATCCTGGGGCTGGGAGATGGTGAGCAGGAATCAGAGGCCTCTGCCACGGCACCCCCCATTCCCTGTCCCAGGAAAGGAAGCCTGGGTCCCAGCTGTCTCATCTCAGGACTGCGCTGGGAGCTCCGGAGCCTTCCAGGGCTGGGGATAGAGTCCTTTCGCAGGCCTAGGGCCCAGGCCCGAAATCCAGGACCGCCCCGCCCCGCCCCCGCCCCGCGAGTCGTGGAGCGCAGGCCTCTCGGCTCCGCGCAGCGCGGACTCGGCCAGCACCCGGCCCGCGCCCTCCCTCGGCTGGCGACCACTCACACGTCGACTCCGGCGGTGCCTGCGGGCGGACGGACGGACGGACCGCGCAGCTCACTGGACGCGCGGCCCCAGGAAGCGCCCCCCGCCCGCCCGCCCGCCGCGGCCCACCCCGGCGCCTCCGCCCGCCCTTCGGCGGATTCCTGAGCCCGCGCCAGGGGGAGGGACCCCGACCCCCCGGCTCCTCCGCCCGGGGCCGGCCACAGGCCCCCACCCGGTCCCCCGCGGCGGCGCCTGGAGCCGCCCTCGGGCGCCCAGCCAGAGTTCCCCAATGCTTGGGTCGTTGGGCCACTGACCTTGATGCCTGACCCCCAAACTCACCTGGGGACCCCAGACCCTGACTCAAAGTGTTATTCTGTCCACCTAGACCCTTTCTAACCTGTGTCTCCAGAATCCCATACTGTGTGCTCGCACCTCAGTGTAGCGATGCACCCAGACCCCGATTCTGCGCATCTCAGAACCTACTGGGCACCTCAGACCTCCAGATCCTACTACTTTCAGGATTTTATCCCGTGCTCCCACACCGTCACTGAGACGGTCTCGAGGCTTCATCGAAGGCTTCCGGACCCTCGTCCAGGCATAAAACTAACTGTTGAGCTCTCTCTGCCCATCACCTCCGGGGCCTCCAGGTGGTCTCTTTACTGAGGGGCCCTGCTGCCCCTAAGCCTGCGCAAAGCCACAGCAGAGGGGCGAGGGCAGCCGCTGTCTTGGCCCGAAATGAATGGAAGCCCCTGAGAAGACGGGCAAGCTTGAACTTGGGGGAGGAGGTCACTGGGGCCCAGGGCCAACCCTTTCCCGACCCTCTTCCCACCCAGGTCCCCTACTGGGTTTCCGCCTCCGTCCCCCCCTCCCCCCCCAGCGAAGATCACGCCTTGGAGGCGGAGTCAGGGTGCCTTTAGCTCCCAGGAAGGGGGGAATGGGACGGACTTCGCGTTCCCCACGTCTCAGGGCGGGACTAGACGGGAAAGGCTTGTGTGTGCAGGGTTCCTGAGCCTGGCCCAGACCGCCAGCGTCCCCAGCAGTCTTCCTTCCCCAACCTCTTTCCATCTTCATTTATTAATCTATCTATCTATCTATCTATCATCTATCATCAACTGTCTATTTATCTGTCTGTCTATGTCTTTTTGAGATAGGGTCTCACAATGTAGCTCAGACTGTTCAGGAACTCACTGTGTAGACCAGGTTAACCTCGAACTCACAGAGATACTCCTGCCTCTGCCTCCCAGCTGCTTGGATGAAAAGTGTGCTTGCACCTCCACGCTTGGCTCTGCCTTGTAATCCCAGCACTCACTCGGGGAGGCAGAGGCAGGTGGATCTCCGTGAACGGTCAAGGACAGCTTGGGCTACAGAGAGAGTCCAGGGCAGCCAAGGTTACACAGAGAAAGCCTGTGTCGAAGAAAAAAAAAAAATCTGTTCCATCTCATTGAATTGTCTGAGTGATGACGCGTGTGGAATGTACATGTGTGCCGATGTAGCGAGGGCCTTGTTGAGACGGGGGTTGTCACTGAATGTGGAGATTACTACTCCAGCCATACTGGCTGGCCGGGGTGTGCTCTCAGGATCTGCCAGTCTCCACCACGCTGGGGTTACGCTAACATCACCGCCACAGCTGACTTCTACCCTCACGCCCTTTGTGCGGGTGTCCGCGGAGGACAGGGGCTTCCTCTGGATCTGGAATTACAGGCAGTTGTTAGCTGCCTCATGTGGGTGCTGGGACCCAAACTCAGCTGATCCGAATGAGGAATGCTGGAGTTATTTCTCCAGACCTGTCTTAATTTTTTTTTTTTTTTCAAAGCAATAGAGGGCTAGGGGTGTAGGTCAGTAGCAGCCTGTTTGTTTACCATGACAGAGATCCAAAATTCAATCTTAATAACCCCCGACACACAAGAGTGTGTGTGTGAGAGAGAGAGAGACTGTTTTGGAATTCTGAAGTAGATCAAAGCCCAAAGAAGCTAAAAGAGAAGTGTGGAAAGCAGATGATACTCTGAGTGAATGTGCATCTTTGATATTAGCATGGCCATGTCTCCGACCCCAAGCACTCAGACCTGTGGGCCTGGCTGGGCCTTCCACAAGTAAGTGCAGATGCTGAGAGTATGTGTATTTTGAAGCCCAGATGACTGCAGCCTGAGACGGCTCCCCTGCAGAGATCCCCTAAGGAGATTGGCTAACTCTCCTCCCTCAGCTCAGATAACAAACTGGCTGAGTTTCCAGGCTGCCGGTGGGTATGACTCCCTCAGAACACAGGGCCCACCAGGTCTCCAGGTTTTCTGTATGTGTGACTGTTGTTTCTTAACTCCTATTGCCCAGTCAGGCCAATCCCAAAGTCCTGATGGTGGAGACAGAAAAAAATAAAATAAAATAAACATAGGGAAAAAAGCCTGGCTTAGTGACACACACCTTTAATTCCAGCACTCAGGAGGCGGAGGTAGGTGGGTCTCTGAGTTTGAGATACAGGGAGTTCCAGAACAGCCAGGGCTACATTGAGAGACTGTGTCTCAATCATTTTTTATTTTTTGTGGGGAGTTTGGTATTTCAGAAAATATGACTTTACGTAGCCCTTCTGTCTTGTGTCCTGGAGCTCAAGCTGCAGACCAGGCTGGACTTGAACTCACAGAGATCCGCCTGCCTCTACCTCCTGAGTGCCGGGATCAAAGGTGTGTGCCACCACCGCCCAGTAATCTGGAACTTTTTTGTGTACTTTTATTGTTGTTAGTTTCTTCTTGTAGCCTTGGCTGTCCTGTAGACCAGGCTGGCCTCCAGCTCACAGAGATCTGCCTGCTTTTGCCTCGAGCGCTGGGATCACAGGTGTGCGCCACCTTGCCTAGAATTTTTGGAACTTTTAATGGAACCAGGCTAGCCTTGAACTCTTGGCAAGCCTCCTGTCTCGTTCTCCTAGGTGCTGCATTGTAGGCATGACCTGCTATCACCACCTAATAAAGTTGTTGTTATTAATGGAAAGTAAAAACTCTTGATTATCAAGAGCTGACTATCCCAGGCGCTGGCAAGGACATTCTGCAATCCTCTTGTCAAGCTAGAGACGAGATGCCATTGCTACCCCACTTCACAGGAGAGAGGGGCTGAGAGATTTGTCCCAGGTGCCACCGAAGTAACAAGAATAACGCTGGAATTCGCGTCCCACTGACTCTAAGACTGAACCTTGTTCCATAGCAGACTGGCCAGGCTCTCGAGTATCATCCACTCAAGAACTGCTGCTGTCACTCACAGGCACTCAGACCCAGGGAGAGATGACTCAAGCATTGACCACTGAGACTTGTACCATTGAGCCCAAGTCTTCCTGCCCCTTAGAGCTGCCTTCCCAATGATCTCTGACCTCTGCCACCCCAATGACTTTGCCTACCTCCCTGGATTGGCATCGTGTCCCCATAAAGCTTCCTATTTGGTTGCTTCCAAATCTCTCGGCCCCTCTCATCTGAAGTGGGGTGGTAAGGACATCCCATCTCAGGCTTAAAGAGGCTTGGAGAGTGTTCCCTTTGCTCAAAGACACTAAGGTTCCTGGGCTCACAGCTCGCCCTGACTGGTTGTTGGGAGGAGCTTCAGGATAAACGAGGGAACAAGTGATCAGGAGGGTTATTCATTCATTTAAGTGTTTACTGAGTGGCCACTGCTGATCAGACATGTGCCACGCACCGAGGATACAGCACTGACCAAAACACATCAAAATCTGTCCTTGCAGAGCTCATGTTTGAGGGATGGAGGGAAGAAGGAGAAAAGCCCCCAGTCCCCCTTCCACAAGACAGCCTGAATGACATGATGATGACACCTACATGGGACCACACAGCATAAGATGCACTTGGGGTACATAATTGGGCTCCAGGGCCATTGGGCATCAATAGACAGTTTGTCCGCTGCATTTTAATGAAAGCATGTTCTGGGACCCAGGTGACCTTTCATCCATAAAAATAAAGACACCAAGGAGAAAGCATCGTTGTTGTCGTCGTCATCATCATCATCATCATCATCATCATCATCATTTGCCTTTTTAAGACAGGGTTTCTCTAACAGAGCCCTGGCTGTCCTGGATTCACTTTGTAGATCAGGCTGGTCTCACACTCAAGAAGATCTGCCTGCCTCTGCCTCCTGAGTGCTGGGATTAAAGGCATGAAAGCAGCATTCTTATTTATTCATTCATTCATTTATTTATTTAAAATATCGGGGTCCCTCGGCTTACTGTCCCAGGGAGAGATGTAGATGGAGTTTAATGGACCATAACAATTCTAATATAATCACTAATGAAGCAAAAAGGTAAAGAAATTAGAAATGGATGACTTCCAAGACTAGACCCTCCTCCTTCTTCCCAACCATGAACCCTGGGAAGCCAGCTCTTCGCTCCTATCTGTGGTCTTGGCTGCTGTTTTCCAGCTTGGAGGTTGGTGGGGGAGAGGAGTAGAACTTCTTTAGCCCAAGGACCCACTTATAATGGGGACAGCAGTTACTGGGTCTCAAGTGCTGCCCGGTTCCTGACCACACAGCCCTGGGCTTGTTTTTCTAGGATATTTTCCTCTGTTTTTCTTTCTCCTCATTCATAGACCATGTCGAGGAAAAGAAATGTGACAAAAGCTGACTACAAGTTTTCAGTCAAGCAATACAGACTGACGTCTGTAATGGAAGTACTTGGGTCTAAGCAGGAGGACCGGGAATTCAAAGTCTTCGCCAAATTCCTAAGGAGTTTAAGGCCAGCCTGGGCTACCTGAAGCCCAGTTCCTTCCCTCACAAAAGAACGCTCAAACTGCCTGGCATGGTAGCACTCGCCTTTAATCCCAGAACTCAGGCGGAGGCAAGCAAATATTTGTGAATTTAAGGTCAGCCTGGACTACACAATTGGAGAATTTTAGACCAGCCAGGGTTACCTAGTCAGACCCTGTCTCAACAACATCAAACAAACAAATTGACTCAATAGTTACTGAGCCTGCCACACACTTCCAGATGGTTCAGATGGGACAGATTGGACCCCTCTGTGTGCTTGGGAGGGAGATGAGTGGGCAAAGGCATGACAAGGGCTCAAGGGGCCATAAACAGTTATACCTGAGGTTGGGGTCTCAAGCGGGGAAGGCTTCTTTAAAAAGGTGGCCCTTAAGTTGTCTCACAGAAAAAGCAAGAGCCTAAGGAATACTGGCCACCACTCCTCCCTGGACCACAGGCATCTGTGGCTTGTCGGTCTAGGTTTTCCATCATGGCGTCAATGTCAATATCGTCACTGCCCACTGACATCTGCCTCTGTCTCCTTAGGAAGGGGTTTGTCATTGTCTGGAACTCGGTAGCCAAGAGCTCCTATTGGAAAGAACGGGGTGGGGGATGGCCAGGCAGGCAGGTGGAGAAAGGGTCTACCCTCCACCCCAAGCCTGGTTTCCCCTCGTGGTTTCTCCAGCTCCGCCCTTTCCATCCAACATCGTCTACACAGCTTCCTGCCCACAGCATTTTTGGCTGCACCATGATACTGATTGCCCACCTCTCCTACGTTCTGCCTCTGTTGATAGCAGGCCCAGGCTTCAGTGACTCCCTCCTCAGCAAGGTAAATGTTTCCAACCGGCTCTCCAGGCCCTTCCCTGCTGGTCCCATTTCCCAGGTCTTCTCTTCATAAACTGGTAGATATATTTTTCTTCTTTCTTTTTAATTTTCTTAAGACAGGGTCCTGAAGGGCATGGTGGCAGAAGGATCTGTTAGCCTTTAACTGTGTAGCCCAGGCTGGCTGGCTTCACTGGCTTCAAACTCTCAGCTGTCCTCCTGCCTCAGCCTCTTGAGTGCTGCAATGAGCATTCAGAGGGGTAAGCTGTCCTGTCTAACTTTACCTTTCCTCTTTCTCAGAGGAAGCCGTGGAGGCTGGCATGGGGTTGCTCACAGTGAAACGGAGAAGACTACCTCATCACCCCCTTAGCCCTGCCCTTGTACCTTAGACATAAAGCTGGGTTCACAATGATTCTTTCCCGGGCCTCTTCCCACTTTCCGTTCCTCTCCAGGATGTAGGCCCCCAACCACTGGAGCTGAAGGAAGTCTTCAAGCTCTTCCAAATCCAGTTCAACCGGAGCTACTCAAACCCAGAAGGTATCATGGGTACAGATGTTTCCAGTCCAATTCCCTCTGACCACTTAAGAGATGAAGTCATGACTTGGGGAGGGGAACAGACCCGGTCCAGGCCTCTGAGTGGAAAATAAGGTCCGTAGTGTGCTCCTTGGCTTCCTCAATATATGATGGGCATGGAACGATCTTCATGCTATGGTCACTTAACTGTGAGTCCGGGCAGGGAGCAGAGGTGCACCATCTAGTCACATCTTCAGTCAGCAAATCCCGGAGGATATTCATTTTGTCTCCACAGTGGCAACTCTCTGTCCCCTGTTTATCCTGCCCCCAGTCCCAAGTTACCAGCGGTTCTCTCTTCCATTCTTTTATTCTGGGGCTTCATCTCCCACAAAGGGCTGTGTGTATGTGTGTACATGTGTGTGCCTGTGTGTGCATACTAGGCCCCATCCACTCATCCTCTGCCCACCCACTCATCCTCCAGACCTGTGGTCAGATGTGTGAAGAGGGGGCAGGGAAGGTGCAGCCCGCAGGTACAGGAAACCTATCTGTAGGCATTTTAACTTTCTTTTCTAAGTTACTGCCTCTAACCACCTTGCTCAGCTTCCTCCTAGTGAGAGGCTCTTGGTGCCTCTGGGGGAAATTCTAACCTCATGTGGGCAGAATATCTACTTTCTTGTAGTGGAGTGGTAGTGATGGGGGCTTTAGGAAGGCGCCTGCACTCACCTGAGTGGGTGTGGGTGGCCCAACCAGTGGCCACTTCCTGCCTTGAGACTGGCCTGCCACAGTTCCTTTTTGGTCTAGAGTACACTCGCCGTCTGGATATCTTTGCCCACAATCTGGCCCAGGCTCAACGGCTGCAGGAGGAAGACTTGGGCACAGCAGAGTTTGGAGAGACTCCATTCAGTGACCTCACAGGTACTGGAACCCTCCCGGCCCATGCCTAGCGTGTAGGGCAACGGGCAAATGGGCAGAGTAACCTCCTACCCCTTTGCAGGCCAGCCTGGGCGACTGCCCTATCCCAGAGCACAAGGCAGTTACTCTGTGGCCTGTGTCCCAGCTTGGCTCGCAGGCCAGAAGCAGAAGGTGCAGAAAATGCGCCAGCACAAGCTGGGCCTCTCTAGGCCTTAGTACCTACCTGATACCTTCCAAAGTATCATCGGGACGGGAAAAGCCAAGGTGGTGACAGCTGGAAAGGGAGACTCTAAAGAGAGGGGTGTCAAATCTGTGATCTCATGGGCTTGGGGGCACATGCCGGTAATCCCAGCACTTGGGAAGGCAGAGGCAGGTGGATCTCTGTGAGTTTGAAGCCAGCCTGGTCTACAACTCAAGTCAGGACAGCCAAAGCTACACAGAGAAACCGTGTCTCCAAAAACCAAAACAACAACAAAAAAACCCAAACAACAACAATAAACCCTGTGACCTCTGTGTCCCTGTTTGTCCTCAGAGGAGGAGTTTGGCCAGCTATATGGGCATCAGAGGGCACATGAAAGGATCCCCAACATGGCCAAAAAGGTTGGGTCTGAAAAGTGGGGGCAATCTGTGCCCTTCACCTGTGACTGGCGTAAGGCAACAAATATCATCTCATCAATCAAAAACCAGGTATCTGCCCCCACCCAGTTTGGCCTCATCTACCCCAAGGACAGAAAGATTCGGTCAAGGCCTTGACACCTTACCCGGGGCCACTCTATCCACTCAGGGAAACTGCAGGTGCTGCTGGGCCATAGCAGCAGCGGACAACATTGAGGCCCTGTGGCGCGTCAAACACAAGCAGTTTGTGGAAGTCTCCGTGCAGGGTATGGTAGGGAGAAGAGGTGTGGCAGGGAGAGAAGCCTAGGGCCTGCTCACTCATCTGTCCCTTCCTGCCCCAGAGCTGCTGGACTGTGACCGCTGTGGAAATGGCTGCCAGGGAGGCTTCGTGTGGGATGCGTACATCACAGTCCTCAACAACAGTTGAGTACTGGCCTCGCGGGAGGGCAGTAGGGATGCAGGGTGCTCAATACCCAAGCCTCCTTCCTGGTCTCGCTTGTCTTCAGGTGGCCTGTCCAGTGAAAAGGATTACCCATTCCAGGGGCACACAAACCCCCGCAGGTGCCTGGCTAAGAAGTACAAGAAAGTGGCTTGGATTCAGGATTTCACCATGTTGGCACGTGACGAGCAGAGTATGGCCAGGGTGGACGTGGAGGCTTGGGGCAGAGAAACTAGAGCAGACAAGCCTGGCTATGGGGGGCTGGGGGGACCAACTGAAGTCCACTCCCCTGTGAGAACAGCCTCAGGGCGGGCAGGGCTTGACGGCACCTTCAGGAATCTCCAGTAATTACCTATTTCCAGAGATTGCCCACTACCTGGCCACCCATGGTCCTATCACCGTGACCATCAACATGAAGCTGCTACAGGTGGGTGCAGCGGGGGAGAGAGAAGGGCACACGGGAGAGATGGCCCTGGACTCAGCTCCTCTGCCCCCTCCTTTGCAGCATTACCAGAAGGGTGTGATCAAGGCCACACCCAGCGCCTGTGACCCCCAACGCGTGGACCATTCTGTCCTGCTGGTGGGTTTTGGCATGGGCAAGGAAGAGGGGGCCATCCACACAGGGCCAGTCTTGCCCCAGTCTCGCAAACCTCGCCGCCCTATCCCATACTGGATCCTGAAGAACTCTTGGGGAGCCCAGTGGGGCGAGAAGGTAAGTGGAGTGGGATGGGAAAGGGGGCAGAACATCTTTCTTCTTTACCTTCTGGCCCTGACACCCCCTGATTTCCTAGGGCTACTTCAGGCTTCATCGGGGAAACAACACCTGTGGGATCACCAAGTACCCACTCACGGCTCTAGTGGGCCACTCAGTTAAGAAGCCACCAATCTCTTGCCCGCCTTGAGGACAGCAGCCACCCCTCACAGCCTCTCCCACGGGGGCCACGGCCCTCCTCGTCAGCCCCACTCTGAGGTTCTGCCTGACTGCCCCATCTTCTCTGTATGGCTTCATAAAGCAAGACATGATCCCTGGCTCCTGAGTGGATTCAGCTGGGGTGTGGAGAGGGCGGCTTGGGTGCAATCTGTGTCATGGTCCAGTCCCTGAAGCGCTAGCATACGCCTCCTTACACACGACGGCCTAGCACCTGGGCACACGTATGTGTATAGCGTGAAAGTCCTCGGGAGCTCCTCAACCGGGAACAAGGAGCAGTCTCCAAATTTACGAAACTTTATTGTCAGGGTATGGCAGAGAGGGGAAGGAAAAGGGCTTTAATCATGATAGAGTCGCAGAAGGCAGCCACGGAGGGTGGCCATGTAGCGGTCCCAGAGGGCCTGGTGCCTGCAATGAAGATGGCAACCACCATCACTCATGTCCATTCAACACCATGCCTGACGCACTGCTACGAGTGTTTTCCACACCTGGACTCCTCAAGAACTTTTTTTTGGGGGGGGACAGAATAGTCTCATACCTCTGAAGTCCTGGGATTACAGACTTGAGTCATTATGCCCAGCTTCCTTCTCTCTGCTCTCCACCCAGAGCTGAGGGCTGAACTTAGCCCACGGTGGATCTGCGCCCTCTTACCACCCGATATACACCCGCAGGCTAGTGAGATTGTGGAAAGTCTTATGACTCTTCCAGTTCTAGCCTCCGTTTACATTTGAGAAAGCGAAAGTACAGAAGGGATAAGTAACTTGCCAGAGGGCACAGAGACCCACAGAGCGGTTCAATAGGGAACCTGAGCCTACTGGAGAGCCAGCGAGTTAGTCAGCTGGCCTGGGGCCTCTCACCGGAAGCCATCCAGAGAGTGGACAGACGCTGAATACTGGTTGAGGAAGAGCCGCACGTCACTCAGGGGCCAGTGGTCAGAGCGGCAGGGTTCCACAAACTGTAGGTCCAAGGGAACAAGTAGCACCACCAATACCCTCAGACACGGGACAGCTGGGGACCGGGGAGGATGGGACAGGATTCCTCACCTTCTCCACGAGGTCCACGAATAGGTCTCTGACATCCTTATTGTGCGTCAGCTTGGCAGCCACATTCACCAGTCCCCGGGACAGATTCTGTTGGGGCAGGGATCTTGGGAGCTCTGTCTTCTGCCCCAGAAGCTGGAGGCTGAGGCTCAGGGAGGGCCAGGCCCCTCCCCAAATCTATCCACCTCCCTCCATCAGGTCCCTTTTGTTAAGAGCTGGGTCCCCCTCACAGGCAGACAGAGAGCAGCAGTGCCACCTGCTGGTCAACTTCGGGCATGAGCATAGTTGCCCAGCAAGGGCACAGAAGGCTCCTGACACTTTAGGGGGAAGAGCCGGGACAGGGCCACAGACCTTGAAGTTGGTTTCCATCTCAGAGAAGACGCCCAGTTTTCCCCGGAGGGCAGTACACACCAGGCTGTAGGAAGAGAGTCATACTATAGCCATCCAAGACCATATTATACCCTGTCGCATGGATCCCCAAGGTCACCTCTTATGCAAGTCTAGAAGGTCCTTGTCAGCTACTAGAACCTTGAGCTCCTTCAAGTCTTGGAGAAACTCCTTGTCTAAGTCCACATCCATGTCATCCATCTGGGAGTCTGCGAAGACCATGAAGGAAGTTGTGGGTGGATGAGAAACCATCTTATGAGGTCCTGAACCTTCCTCACCACTACCTCACTGGGATCTCAGAGATGGAAGGCAGAATGTTATGGCTGAGGCCACACAGTAGTGAGCCTTTGGCCTGCAGACGAGGCTTGTGTGCATAGACTACATGGAGAGGTGGCCTGGGGCGGAGGGCTAAAGAAGAGAGGGTGCTGGATACTGTGGAAGCTACAGGACAAACTGACAGCAGGGAACCAGTCCCTAACGGGGCCGGGAACGTCCAGGCACCTGGGTTGGTGGGGGCCTCACCGACGGCTCCAACGGTCCAGTTCTGGATCATAAGCTCAGCACAGAAAGCAAAGTCACCAAAGCTCAGGTACTGCAGCTTTTTCTTTCCTGTTTCAAAGCGGTTGTTGGCAAAAAAGACGATGGCTGCATAGTCTCTGCAGACAGGGCACAGTGCATCTCTTAAGACTAGAAATACTTTCTCATGGTTCCTACAACAGTGTTTTGATCACTAAGCTTACTCAGCAACTTTTTTGTTTGTTTTTGAGCCGGGGTTTCCCTCTGTAGCCTTGGCCTTGGCTGCCCTGGACTCACTTTGTAAACCAGGCTAGCCTCGAACTCACAGAGATCTGCCTGCCTCTGCCTCTCAGAGTGCTGGGATTACAGTTGTACTGGAATTACACAGTGCCAGGCTCTACAGACCAGTAAACTTACTTAGTAAGGATTCTTTTTTTTTTTTTTTTTTTAAGATTTATTTATTACTTATACAGCATTCTGCCTGCACGTGTGCTTGTGCGCCAGAAGAGGGCACCAGATCTGATTATAAATGACCGCGAGCCACCATATGGTTGCTGGGAGTTGAACTCAGGACTTCTGGAAGCGCAAGCACTACTCTTAACCTCTGAGCCATCTCTCCAGCTCTAGTAAGGATTCTTGAAGAAACGTTTTGCTGTTGTTTTAACTTACTCTTAGCAGGTAGTTCCCACCTGCAATCTTGGCTAAGCATTGTAGTTCTGGCCTGTTTCTGCTTTCCCTCACCACGTGACCAACCACTGACCATTTCCTCACCAACCTCCCGTCTCTGCAAAGAGATGATCCAGCCACGCTACATGGCAGGCCACGCTACATCCTTGAGCATTTCTTAGATGCTTTCCAGATGCCTTAACCTTGGCCAACCTGAGGCGACTTACAGGTCATTAGTAGAATAATCATTCCTCCATAACAGCCAGAAGGCCAAAGGGTTACGACAGGGAAGGTGTGCTGGTCTAAGGGCCCAGGAAGCTGTGTGCAGCAGGAAGGTGGTCAGCCCCTCACCTGGCTAACCGGTCTGAGAGGAGGAAGTGTTGCTGGATGTTATCCACCAGGGATCCCCGCATTTCCTCCACCACCTTGAAGACTCGCTTAAAGTTGTCAAACTGTAAGGCCATTAAGGAAGAAGACTGGTCAGAAGGTGCTAATGTGGGAGCTGCTATGCAGCCCTCTCCTACCCACCTATCCAGCTGGCAGGTACTGATTTATCCCTAGTGATTTCTTCAACAAACGACTAGGGTTTTTGTTTTGTTTGTTTTGAGACAGGGTTTCTCTGTGTTTTGGAACTTACTCTGTAGACCAGGCTGGCCTCAAACTCAGAGATCTGCCTACCTCTGCCTCCCCCCAGTGCTGAGATTAAAGGTGTGCGCCACCCTGCTCAGAAAGACTAAGTATTAATAACTGCCATCATTTGACAAATGTTGACTAGCTTTTGGCATTTTCCTTAAAAGGATGTTTACCTGTTCCTGTCCCTAAGTTCAATTTAGTATCATGATCTCCGGGTTCTTTAAGGACCTGGTTTAGAATGGATTCTCCCGAGTAACTTGAAATAAACTAAGCTGTGCACACAGAGCTCAAGAGAAACACAAAGGAACGGCATCCAAAGCCTAGAAAGGTTTAGCAATCAAAGCCCAGTTTTGATTCTCCCCTGAAGACAGGGTCTGTGGATGCTACACCATGCGTGCTACTAAAAGCTTCACGGATAAGGCAGCTCCTGCTGTGGAGCTCAAGGGGTAGGTATGGCCAAGAATAGAACCTTCTAGGCAGAAGCACCAGGAGCAAAAACAAGCTTGGGGCTCAGGAAATGTAAGGCGGGTGGGACCAAACAGAGTCTCCAGGTCAAAGCCAGCGGCGGTCAATGAAAACCTAGCAAAGGAAAGCCTTGGTCAGAACTGAGCCTATGAAAGGTCACTCTGGCCAGATGGGAGGTGGCAGGAGAAGAGACTACATCTTAAGAAGCTGCATCCACAATCACAGGCCGGAAGTGGAGCTGGGGGCGAAAGCAGAAGGATCAAGGGGCGCAAGGGTAGGCTGGACGGGATATGGTATGGTGTGTGTGACCCACCTGCCTCCGGCAGCTCTTCAGGGTAATTCCTGTTTTGGTGCTGATGTCATCCAGGTCTTTCTTGGTACCCTTGGACAGCTTCTTGCCCAAGACCTCCCGAACAAAGGCCTCGTCAAAGGTGTAGTACCTTGTGGAGGCACAGAACGTTATCGGTGACCCATGAAGGAAAGGGAAGGGAGTCCGGGGTTGGAGCCTTCTGTTCACTCCCCGTGGACAGTTGGGAGTGGTTGGAGCCACTCCCCGTGCCTCCGTTTTGGCCCCCCAAATGGGTGTGAGTCAGACTGACTGACACCCCCGCCATCCCCCAGAGCAGCACCTCTCAATGAGGAGCGCCTGCCGGGAGGGAGGGATCTGGAAGATGAGCTGGTGCAGCAGCTTCGGCGGCGCGTGCAGCAGACGCTCCAGCATGTGAAAAGTGCGGTAGTGGTCCATGGTGTCGCTCTGCAGCACTCCCGTGGTGGCGCCCGTCTGCTCCAGGATCCCGGAGCGAACCCGTAGAGCCACCGCGTCGTTCACTGAGGAGTGGGTGCTACCGTAAGATTCCAGCCTGCCGACCCCGGCGGCCCTCCAGGGCTTCCACCTCCAGTCCTTGCCTTTCCCTGGCTCCCAGCTTTGTCCACTTCCCTAAACCAAGCCTAAGCCCTGGCCACGCCCACCCTCTCACCCAAAACAACCGCTTCCCGGGAGGACGCCATCCAGACCTGAGTAACCATCCAGCCAGAGGCGATACACGTCTTCATCTATAAGGGTCGTGTTTCCCACAAAAATGTCTAGTTCGCTGGTCATGGCGATGCCCGGGCCGGGTTCGCCCGGAGCTGGAGCTTCCACGGCCCGGGGCCGGGCAAGCAGCCGCAGACCCACTTCCGGGAGTGCGGAGATTTCGCTCCGGGCACCCGGAGCTACCGAAGAACCACTTCCGGGATGGAGCTAGTAGGGAGAAGCAAGCGGCTCTGTCCTCGTTTCTCAGCCCTTCCCGAGGTTTTCTGGAAGACCTCAGGATGATCTTCTCCCAGGCTCACCTGTCTTGCAGGTTCTCCCACGTCCTCCTTCTGTCTCTCCCATCTCCTCGGCTCTCTCAGAGCCTGCCGATTTTGACCCGTCTCCTAAATTGGAATGTTCCCGAGGCTCTATCCTAAATTGCTGAGTGTGTGTGGGCCCTACTTCCATAGTCCAACAGACAGATGAGCATTTTTCTTGTTCCCGCGTGTATTTTATTTCTGTTATTTTGAATTATGTGTATGTGGGCGGAGGGTATGTGCAGGTGCCCTCGGAGACCAGCGGTATCAGATCGCCCAAGCTGGATTTGCAGGCAGTTTTTGAGTCGCCCATATGGCTGCTGGGAACAGAACTCGGCACCTCTGCAAGAGCAGCTCTTGCGCCCAACCGCGTAGCCATCTCTCCAGTCCCAGCCTTCCACCACATAGTCCACCCCCACACAAGCTGGTGACTTGTCTTAAAGTCTTTCAGAGCTCTGCGTGGAAGTAGGCGTCTGCAGGGCCACCTCCCTGCTAAAGCTTTCCACTGTCTTTGTCTTCTCCTAAGGCAGTGAAGGCTCCACTTGGGAGCCACCAAGCCTGAAGGCCCAAGTTCAAGTTCCAGGATCCATATTGTGTAAGCAAAGAACCAACTCCAGCAAACTGTCACCTCACCTCCACACATGCACTGTTGCATATATGCATAGACATGCTTTAACTTTTTTAATTACTAATATATATATAAAATGAACCTTTAGTAACCTTTAATAGGGAGGCAGAGGCAGGCGGATCCCTGACTTTGAGGCCAGCCTGGTCTGCAGAGTGAGTTCCAGGCCAGCCGAGGCTACCCAGAGAAACCCTGTCTGGAAGAAACAAAACAGAACAAGTAAACAAATGTTTAAAAGCACTACCCAGGCCAGTTTAGCTCACTGCACTAGAAGGCCGCTTATGTAGAAAGCGGGAGGTCCCGGTTGTCATGGGTAACAGGGCCAGGTCACCTACCCCACGCCTGCCCCCTTAGGCACAGCACATTTTAGGGTTTCTAGAAAGATCACTGTCACCCTCCGTCTGTTTTCCTACGATCCTTAGTAGCAGCCCCAGCATCCACAAGTTCTCCTACAAGAAACCTGGACTGTCTCCCAAATTCCTCTCTCCAGGCATTCAGAGCTGTTGACGAGCCTGCTGGGCGCCTCTAGCATCCGCCTCTTCCTCTCTGCCCCACTGACTCGTTGCCAGCCTAGACTTTCTGCACAGCTCTTGGTTCCACGATACACTGTTATTAATCTGGTGTACACCCTGCCCCCAGAGTCCACCCCACACAGCACAGCTGAAGACTTCTTTTGAGGTTGGCATTGGGGACAAAGTCCTCCTACAGCTCAGGCTGATTTTGAACTCAAGGATGACCTTGAATTCCTGATGCTTCTGCCTCCCCTTTCCAAGTGCTGGGATTACTGGCATATGCCAACACAACTGGCTTCTGAACAGTCTTTTACAAATGTTTCTTTCCCTAGGTGTGGTAGCTCATGCTTGTGATTCCTACGCAGAGGCCAGAAAATCTCTGTGAATTGGAGGCCAGCCTGGCCTACGTAGACACTTTCAAGCTACCCAGGATTACATATCGAGACCCTGTCTTAAACAAAATAAAACATTTAAAAAATTATTTCTCTGTTTAAAATTCTTACTGACCTTTGGAAACCCTCTAGTCTAGCATTGCAGGCCCTTAAGAATTTGGAATCAGCCAGGTGCGGTGGCACACGCCTGTAATCTCAGCACTCAGGGAGGCAGAGGCAGGTGGATCTCTGTGAGTTTGAGGCCAGCCTGGTCCAGGACAGCCAAGGCTATACAGAGAAACCCTGTCTTGAAAACAAAAAGCAAAAGAAAGAAAGAAAGAAAGAAAGAAAGAAAGAAAGAAAGAAAGAAAGAAAGAAAGAAAAGGAAAATTTTGGCACCTATCCACCTTTGAAGCCTACTTCAAAGGTTTTGTTTTGTTTGTTTGTTTGTTGAGACAAGGTCCTACTTTGTAGTCCAGGCTAGTCTAAACTGGCAGCACTCTTCCAACTTCAAGCCCCCAAGCCTGGGATGACAGGACAGGAGTCATCCGTATACCCAGCTCTTCAAAGCCTCCGCATCCTGCCACTTTCCACAATCCTACACTTCCCAAAATGTCAAAACTATCCTCACTTACTCCTAAAGTACCCAGGCTCTGGGGTCATCAGTGTCTTTTACCACACTTCTTGCTTCCTCCCACATCGTTTTTCTCTATCGTTTTGCTTCAAAGGCAGGGTCTCTCTACATAGCCCTAAGTGTCCTAGCAACCCTCTGTTGGCATCTTCTTCATCTTTTATGGCCCCTCAGGTATTCTCCGTTTGGGAAATATTTTGGGGATCCAACTGACTACTTCTGCATTGCACCCTTCTTTCATGGTGCCGGAATGAGCCGAGATCTTATACATGCTGGGTATATCCTTTATCATTGAGTCATATGCTCAGCTTGAGCTTGAGTACCAGCCCTCTTCCTCTCCCCTAAAAGATTTTCTTTCTTTTCTTCAAGACAGGGTTTCTCTGTGTAGTCTTGGCTTCGTCTGCCAGATTTTGACCTTTTTGGTCAAGAACAGGATTCTCGTCAAGGTCAAGTTTATTTCTGCACGGACCTTTCACACAACAAAGGTTTATCAAACAAACAAATCCTTTGGCGGACCCACACTGCAGGCAGGAAACGTTCCCTGAGAGGGAGAGTTAGTTTAGAAAGGGCCAGGACTTTTGGACTCTAGATTCCGAGTGGCTGGGATTGATGCTTCAGAGTTCTGGCAAAGGAAGAAGATCCTGGAAAGCCATCTGTTTAGGTTCTGATGCAGGGTGGGCAGGGGTCAAAGAGACACCTGAATATCGGTTCTCAAAAAGTGCTTGAGGAGAATTGGGACATGGAGCAGTGCAACGCCTTCAGGTCCTGCTGAGATGACCATAGAAGGAAAGGACACAGAGAGAGAGCCCCTACTGTTTGAGGACCGTGACACTCAAATCAGGGGTGGGCGAGGGAAGAGGAGCTGCAGGCTTTGGCTCCGCCCCCTCCCCGGGAGGCTCTCCGGATTGGCTGTCCTTCTACAACGTCACTGGGCCCCGCCCCAGCGCGCGCCCTGCCTCGTGCCCACCCCGGGCTGGCTGCTGCAGCCTCCGCCGCCTCTTCCACGGCTTGCCATCCGCGGAGCCGGAGCCCGGGCCGGAGCCTGAGCGGCCACCGGCCCGAGGAGGGGCTCCGGAGCCTCGGCGGCGGGCGGGCGATGCTGCAGCTGCCTCATCAGCCATGGAGGCCGAGGCAGGCGGCCTGGAGGAGCTGACGGACGAGGAGATGGCGGCGCTGGGTAAGGAGGAGCTGGTGCGGCGCCTGCGGCGGGAGGAGGCGGCACGCCTGGCAGCGCTGGTGCAGCGCGGCCGCCTGATGCAGGAGGTGAATCGGCAGCTGCAGGGTCACCTGGGTGAGATCCGTGAGCTCAAACAGCTCAACCGGCGCCTGCAGGCGGAGAACCGGGAGCTGCGCGACCTCTGCTGCTTCCTGGACTCGGAGCGCCAGCGGGGACGCCGTGCGGCGCGCCAGTGGCAGCTCTTCGGGACCCAAGCATCCCGGGCGGTGCGCGAGGACCTGGGTGGCTGTTGGCAGAAGCTGGCAGAGCTGGAAGGCCGCCAGGAGGAGCTGCTGCGGGAAAACCTGGCGCTTAAGGAGCTTTGCCTGGCACTGGGCGAAGAGTGGGGCCCTCGCGGTGGCCCCGGCGGCGCAGTGGGCTCGGGCGGCGGGCCCACACCCGAGCTCGCCCTGCCCCCGTGCGGTCCCCGCGACCTAGGCGATGGAAGTTCCAGCACTGGCAGTGTGGGCAGCCCGGATCAGTTGCCCCTAGCCTGCTCCCCCGATGACTGAGGGCGCCTGCCTGGATTGCTCCCTGAGCGCGGAGACTGCTGTGGACCTCCAGACCTGGTCACAGCTTCGGCTGAGCACCGGGGCGCTGGCATGGACTGAAAAAGCCCTGGCACTGAGGAGGGCCCCTCGCTCTTGCTGGCAGGGCAGCAAGGGGATGGAGGCTGAGGAGGAGGGACTTGCTGGGAGGTTGGGTGGGGACCAATAAACTGGGAAGGAAGCAGAGCCCGAAGCCTGACCAGCTTGTGTCTGGAACTCGCCGGGGTTTGGGAAGAGGGCGGAAACCCAGAGATGCGGTGCAGTTCCCTTCCAGAGGGACTGCAGGGCTGAGGGCTGACTCCCCATTACCTGAGTTTTGGGTGGGATTTGAGCTGGTGGTAGACCACTGACGCCCTTGATGGGCGCCAAGACAGGCCGAAATCCGGCCACTGAAGTGGCTCCAGCTCCCTTCCAGGCTCCTTCCTGTCCAAAACAATGGGACAGGAAGCAGGTGTTGGGGGCCTAAAGCCCACTGGGCCGCCTGCTCAGACCCAGTCCTTAACTGCCGTCCTTCCCTGCCCCCAGTCCTTAACACAGGAGCAGTGTGGGTCCCCGTGGGGAAAAACTGATAATCCTCTTTGCTGGCACTTCAGAGCACTCTCAGGCTCTCAGGACAGGAGATGAGACAGAGCAGAGGTAGCCCCATTCTTCAGATGAGAATATCCGAAGTCCAAAAACACAGGGTAGTTTCTCCAAGGTCAAGGCCGAGACTGGAACCTGGAGCTCTTGTTCCAGACGGTCTCCTTGAGCCGCTGGATCCAACATGACAACTCAGACTAGAGCTTCGAGCCTTTTATTCCATTTTGGAAGGTTTGTATAAAAAAATAGTCTCTTTAGGAAAATAAATAGCAGCCGCCCTTGCTGTGGAGGCTTGGATACCCTGGAGCTAAAGCCTTCTCAGAGCTAGGGAGTGCAGCTCAGCTCAGCTCAGAAGCCACAGGAGCCTCCCGAGCTGTGCCGTTCAGGAGGAGCCTGCAGGATGTCCGGTGGCAGCCTGCTGGCAGCGGTGCTGTGTGAGTTAGTGTTCTAGGCTACTGAAAGGGCACCTTCTGTCTAGGTGTAGGGTTGGCCGGATAACCTGGAGAAAGTGGCATAGTGTGAAAGTGGCCTTGCAGGCCACTAGGGCTCCAAAGGACCACTGGAGATCTCCAGAGTCTGGGCTGCAGGACTTCTCCGGCAGAGGGGACATATTTTGTCTCTGATTTTGTGCAAATTCTGATAAGGCCAGCTCTAGAGAAACAATGAGCAGCTTTGGGGGACCTCCCCCCCGACCCCCAAGCTGGCTCTATATCAAAGCATAATGTGTTTGTTCTAATCTGAAGAGATAAGGACCTGCTGGTATGGGGCATGGATGTGGTCCAGGCCTGCTGGATCAACGGGGTAGTACCAGCAAGGGGTGTGGCTGGGCCCCTCACAAAGCCAGGAGTGTGGGAGAACCCAGGGGGTCGGAGGAGGGGTCGCCGCTGCTGCTGCTACTCTTTCGGTGAGCTGAGGAACAAGGTTCTGGTGTGCTAGGATAGGTGAAAACCAGACTGGGAGTGAAAGGCGTCAGAGAGGGTGTGGTCATGAGTGTGGGGGTATGCAGTGCTTCCGGTTCAAGCACCGGCCCCGGAGAAAGGGAGATACAGGGCACCGGGCGGCAGGGCGCTGGTGGGCTGCCGGTGCCGCTGGTGCTGCTGGTACCACCCGGGTCCTTGTCTCCTTCTGGGATTTTGCAGATGGGGCGATGGGCTTCCAGCACCAGCTCGAGGCGTTCCTTCTGCTTCTGCAGCTCTTCGATCTCTCGCTGCAGCCCCGATTTCTCGTCCTCCAGTTTGTCAGTCTCCTTTACATGAGGAGCAGAAAGTTAGGAAGATGGGTGCTGAAGGGCTCCAAGCCTGAGGCTGGAGTCCCCAGCAAGTCTGGTCTGCAACTCCCATGAACCCCTGGGAGAAAATGGGCATGACTTCCATCAGGCCCGGGGGCATCTTAGGAGAAACTGCCTATTCGACTCTGCTTCAAGGCCCAACGCAAATGTTTTTAAGCCACTTTTTCTTTTCCTTTTGCCAGGACTTGCCCTCGGGCAGGGTGCGGAGGAGTGATTTACTGGGTTTCTGTGTTCTTGGGAGCCCAGGCCCCGGAGGCTCTGCCGGCCTGAGCTAGGAGCCCTCTACCCGCTGATGCTCACCGCCTGTAGGAAGTCTGTCAGTTCCTTTCTCCGGTTCCTGCACTTAGCTGCTGCTAGCTTGTTCCGCTCTCGCCTCACTCTGCGGCGCTCTTCCTCCTCTGGGCTGATCTAGGTTGGGGGAGAGTCAAGGGGGCCGTGAGGCTGACCCTGGGCCACCAGCCACCATCCAACTTTCCTTCAGCCTGTAAGTTCAGGTACCACCGCCCCATAGCCGCGTCTGTGTACCAGGAACTCCTCACCTCATTGGTAAAATTCCCAGCCCACACCTCGCTCCCCTGAAATGCTTTCCCTCCCCATGAACTTTGACCTTCCTCTCCTCCTTAGAACTCAACTAAGATGTTGGGACCTCAGGAAGCCTTCTCATTTCCCCGAGCAGAAGTAGCCTTCCCTCCTGAGCCTACGAGACAGGATCATCTTTTTACAGGACCTTCAGCCTTCTTTTTTAAGCCACTTTTATTCTTATTTCTTCCCCCAGGAGCTATGAGGTGCTCACGAGTGTCAAAAGTTATTGAGAATCTACTATGCCGGCAAAGCACTTTATAGATTTTTCTTTTATTCGGTGCTAGGGGTCAAACCCACGGCCCGGTACATGCTTTCTAGGCAAATGCTCTACCACTGAATCACATCCCTAGCCCTTAAATGGATGCTTCTTGGGTCTTGTAGTTTTGTTTCTTTGTATTTTAGACAGGCTCTCACTGTGTAGCCCTGCCTGGCCTAGAACTTGCTATGTAGACCAGGCTGGTCTGAAACTCACAGAGATCCACCTGCTTCTGCCTCCCAGGTGCTGGGATTGAAGATGTGTGCTGTCACACCTGGCTGGTTTTGTCTTTCTTTCTTTTTGTTTTTTTGTTTTTGTTTTTCGACACAGGGTTTCTCTGTGTAGCCTTCAGTGTCCTGAAGCCTACAAAGCCTGGCTTTGTAGACCAGGCTAGCCATGAACTCACAGCGATCCACCTGCCTCTGCCTCCCTGAGTACTGGGATTAAAGATGTGGCTTTGTTTTGTCTTTTTAAAAGGCAGTCTGTGTATCCCGGGCTGGCCTCAAACTCAACATACAGCAAGGCTGGTCTCAAACTCCTGATTCTTCCGCCCCCACCTTCCAAGTACTAGGATTACAGACTTGTATCATCACAAGTCTTCCAGCTTCCCTACCTAGATTCTTTTGTTGTTGTTTGTTTTTCAAGACAGGGTTTTTCTTCATAGCTCTGGCTATCCTGGAACTCACTGTGTAGACCAGGCTGGCCTTAAACTTTGCCTGCCTCTGCCTCCCAAGCTGGGATTAAAGGTGTGTGGCACACCTTGCCCAGCTAGAGTCTTGAAACATCTTATATATATATATATATATATATACACATATATATATATATATATATATAAATATATATATTTATTTATTTATTTATTTATTTAGATATGTATCTGTATGGACTCAGTGTGTCATGGCACCTGTGGAAGTCAGAGAACAATTCTTGAGAACCTGGTTCTCTCCATCCATTATGTGGGTTTCAGGGATTGAACTCAGGTCATTAGGCTTGGCAGCAAGGACCTTAACCCCCTGAACCATCTCACCAGCACGCCCTACATAGATTCTTGTTTGTTTTTTGAGAGGGTTTCTCTGTGTAGCCCTGGCTTTCCTGCAACGTGGTTTGTGTTCAGACCAGGCTGGTCTCAAACTCAGATCTGATGTCTGAATCACCACCGCCTGAATATTTTTAAAAAATTGGCCTGGGACTGGAGAGATGGCTCAGCAGTTAAGAGCACTGGCTCTTAACTGCTTAAGAGGTCCTGAGCTCAGTTCCCAGCAACCACATGGTGGCTCACAGGCATCTATAATAGGATCTGATGCCCTCTTCTGGCCTGCAGGTGTATATGCATACACACGTAAATACATAAAATATAAGTAAATAAAATTCACAAAGAAATGGCTTGCGTCGATGGCACACACCTTTAGTCCCAGCACTTGGGAGGCTGAGGCAGGCAGATCTCTGAGTTCAAAGCCAGCCTGATCTACAGAGTGAGTTCCAGGACAGCCAGGGCTGTCACATAGAGAAACTGTTTCAAAAACAACAACAACAACAAAAAAAACGAACAACAGCAACAAAATTGTGTGTGTGTGTGTGTGTGTGTGTGAGTGTGTGTGAGCAGTGCCATGTGGAGGCCAGGAGAGGGCATCAGAACCTTTGGAGGGAATTGTGGACAGTGAGTCGCCCTGTGAGAGCGGGGAATGGAACCTGGGCTCCCTACCAGAGTAGACAGAGCTAACTGCTGAGTCATCTCTCTAGACCTCTGTGTACTGGCTTGTAAGCAACTGGAGCTCAGGGAGGATGAATAATTTGTCCAAGTTCCAGAGCACAATTTAATGCCCACCGTTCACACTGAGTGACAGACTGGCCACCTGCCCAGGAAGACCCTACCCACAGCTCACAGCTCCAACCCGGTGGTGCCACTCAGGACAGGGCTAAAGAAAGGAAGTGCAGAGGGGCTTGCTTGCCTCTTGCTCAGACCCCAGCTCGTCACAGGGGTCAGCTCTTCTGTTGCTGGAAAGCTTGCTGCTGGCTACTCTCTGCTCAATCTCAAGTGTCTCCCAGGGTCTTGCCCCTCCTGTCCCCATCTGAGACAGAGCCATCACTGCAAACATCTGTGCGTGTGCTCAGTGGAACACATGCATTCACTGGGGAGACGAAGCATGTGCCTCACCTCACAGTGAACCCAGCCAGGTTTGTCTCTTACATCATACTTTTTCCTAGTCAGCATTTTGTTCTGTTTTGTTTCTGAAACAGGGTTTCTCTGCCTTGGCTGTTCTGGACTGGATTTGTAGACCAGGCTGGCCTCGAAACTCAATAGTGACCTGCCTGCCTCTGCCTCCCCAAATGCTGGGATCAGAGGTGTGTGCTACCACACCTGGTTTCCAACATTTAAGCCAATTTTTCTTTTGCTGTTGTTTGGTTATTTGAGACAGGGCTTATGTATCCCAGGCTGACCTTAAACTTCCCACAGGCATGCATCTTCATGCCCAGCACAGCTTTTTAATAT